ATGCTTTGATAATTGCAGCAACTGACTAGATCTTTAAATACGTGGCATAAACTGTAATCTGTGCTGAATTACCAATGTTACAGCACTTAAATCTTAAGAAAATGAAAGACAACCAAATGTCAATCCTTGCTAAATTCAAAGTGAAAAATCATTTGTCAAGTGTTGTTTTGAAACCTAAGGCCCTCTATTGAGCACTGAAACAAACAGCTTATAAATTAATATTTAGAAAATTTATTTTCAAGGCTTTTTTGCAAACAGGATTTTCATACTAAAGTTGTAGTAATGTTTTATAGTTATCTCATAAATTGTATAAATCAATTTTGGTTTTAAACTTGTTTTTCTTTTATCAATATATTGTACTTTATAGCCTTGCATACACGATTTCATGATTTACACAGTGCAAGTAGGTCTATTTGTTGGCTAGAAACCAATTTAATAACCACTGAGGCAAGCAGTTATTGCCTGCATAAAAGGAAATCTGTGGTTTCCTTTTTTAAGTCACTGAGTTCTAATGTCCATCAAAAAGCCTGTTATTGCAATGAATTATTTAGCCATTTCAGTCTAGTACGTATTTTTAATGCTTCAGGCATGAATTTAAAGCTGCAAAATAAACCTAAAGTTTTTCATAGCGCCAAGACTAGGATCAACATTAATAGAAAACAGTAATTTTGCCTAATTGTGACTATTTAAAATAACTTCGGAAGGAACGTTATTTGAACAATTTAGAAAAGAAAGATTGGAGTGTCAGACACGCCAAAAGCAGTCCACCGGAAAGACTCCTAGAACACACCTCCAAAGATAGTAAAAGACAAACAAGATCCTTTTAAATAAATGAAAGGTCAATAGACTCGGGGATGTCGGGTGTCATTTCCTCTGTTTGTCCCTTGGTGGAGTGCTTGAGTCACTTTCTCCCTTTCTGTCCAACTGTTACATTTCTTTCCAGAACCGGCTATCATGTTTACTGTATTTAACCTTTTTTCCTCGAATTATTGTGAATAATACAGCGTCTATTCTAAATGAAAGGCCCCCTGAGATCCTATCGCTGGCACCTGCTTCTTTGTGTTCTTATCCCTAAACTTTCGTTGCCCTTCTATTCTTGTTTTATGCTGTGACTTAAACTACATCAAGAACCCTGAATGCTGTTTTTCAGCTCAGTCGTTGAAATTTCTTAACTGCAAAGCAATTCTAAGCAATATGAGTTAGTAGGTAAATGTCTAAAAGAAAAAATAAATTACCTAGTATTGTAAGTTTCTGATAGGACGTTTGGCATACGAAAGCAATTAACAGTCAAGTTTTTATTAAATGTATACTGGTATAGAATATTTGTGTTTTAATCAATTGCGTGTTTTACATCTTGGTTGCAAAGGGACACTTCTTTTTACTGTCCTGTAAAAAGCTAACAAAGAATAACAGAAATCCCAAATGTCTCAACATTCCCTGGAGCATTTGGCTGCCTGCGCGCGCCGACGTCCGAAAGCTCTGATCAATGCAGGTTTAGGACGCTGCGCACATTTTCCTTCTCAGTCCTGGCCACCAAAGCAGCAGCAGCAGCAGCAGCAGCAGCAGCAGCAAGCTCTTTAATTTATTGCAGCCGGTTACACTTTCGATCCCATTTCCTTCAGAACCCTTGCCTCTCAGGTTGAGAAGATAAACGCAGCCTCGGGTCTGAGCAGCCGGGCGGGGCTGGTGGGTGGGCGCAAAGCCGGATATCGTATTCCCTAGCTGGGGCGGGGGTGGGGGGATTAAATCCCTGGGCTCCTTTTAATGAAATTGCAGAGCACTTGTGACACTGGCTGCGGAAGAGGGGCGGGGGGTGGGAAGCCGGGTTCTCTCCTCCAGCTCCCCTCCGCGCCCGCAGGAGGTGGAGTGAGGGGGTCGGAAGGGGCCTCGCGGTCGGGGCTCCGCTAGGGCGCCCCGAGGACTCCTCTCGCCTCCCTCCTCCGCCCCCTCTCCCTCCCATTGCCTACTCCTCTCTAAGAACGCGCTGCGCAGAAAAGCCGCGGTCACTTCCCGGATGCTCGGGCGGAAAGGTCGAAGCCCGGGACGACCGGGGGCGGAGCGCAGTCGGGAGGCTGCGAGGCCCCGGCGGTCTGGCCGCGCTGCTCGTCATGCAGCACACGTCGGACCCATTTCCCACGCCGGCTGGGCTCGGCGGCGGAGTTGGTGGGGCTGCGAGTGCGGAGGGCGGGCTGGTGACTACCGCCCGCTCGCAGGGGAAACCACTCCACTGTGAAGGGCGCGCTGCTCCCCTCCCCCTGCCATCCAGGAAGAACTGCGCCGCGCGCGGGGCGAAAGCCGCCCCCTGCTTGCCCCCGCGCGAGCGTGCGCCCCGCCAGTGAGCGACTGAACGGAGGGCGGGCGCTGCAGACGCAGAGGGGTTTGTTTAAGTTTACGGTCTGGAGCCAGAGAAGAGGAAGTGCGCAACGTTCCTGCCCACGCGGCTGCCTAAAGTTTGCAAAATTTTAGTAAAGGTGGCGACGGGAGTGTGCTGCACCATCTTGCCGCGCATCGGAATGCTCAGCTCAGAGCCTCCGAGCTCAGACGACTTCCCAGTCTGTCTCCCGGACCGGGGTAGGAGGAAATCAGGCGTCGGGAGAAACCCGTGCTCCTGCCAGATGTCAGGGAGATTTGGCGTTACCGCCACTTAGCCAGCTGCGAGGGCGCTGCGGCGCCCGCCCCCGCCCCCGGCTGGAGACTGCGGCGGTGCGCACTGAGCCTGCGCGCCGGGTTTTTCTCGCTGATGCTGCAGATACGGAGCCGGGAGACGCGGGTGGCGGCGGCGGGAGGGTTACGGGGAAGGCCGGACTCCCGGCCCTGTCCTCCTCGGAGGAGCCGCCACTCCTGCAAGGATGCCTTAACTGTCTGGAAAATACTTGCCAGCTTCCTGCCGTTTACTACACACACTGCCTTCCTCCGCGTTTCTGCAGTCCACAGTAGGGAGAGCCTGGAAGTCGCCGCCACCTCCCTCTCCCCGCCCCGTTTCTACTCGCTGCGCCCGCCCCAACAGCCGCGCGCTGCGTCTGCTCCTAGACTTCACTGGTATTTGTCTTGCTTAAATCGTTCTGCCTTCTCGCTCAGATCTTGTAGGGTGTAGGTACTGAGCGGATTTCTTTCTTGTTCTTTTTGCTTGAAATATTTAAGGAGACATTTCTAGATTGGGCGAAATTGCTGCACGCCAACAATTTCCCATAAATAGGCTTTTCCCCCCTCCTTTGAAATTATGAAAATTGTCTCCAAATATTTCTTGTCCGCCCCAACCCTCTTCATTTTGCCGGATGCAGCCTTCTCATGAACAGCCGCGGAAATAAATGAGTGGATGGTTCTGGCTCATCAGGCGCAAGCAGACCTGAGATCCTATGAGACCGGCTGAGGTGGTCGCGAGCGAAACCTGGAGAAACCTCGCGTAAGGAGATAGTGGAGACAAGCGAGTGGCACAAAGTCAGACGGAGAGAAAGAAGCGAGGGACACTTGGTACACAAACTTGCCATTAAAGTTTATTTCCCTTATATCCAGATAGGTGACGCTACACTTTGCCAGTTACTAAAGGCTGCTGGTTTCTGCTCAGAAAATAATATGTAGGTTTCCCATATGTGTGTTATTCCCCAGGCGCGCATACAAGGTCCACCCCGATGCTAGCACTACGACAGGAATGCCAAGCATTTAAACAAAGACTGGCATCTTCCTTACCCCACCCCAGCCCTGCAAAATCTGAGCTCCCAAATAAGGATCCCTGCCGTTCTCGCTCTAGAGTTTGCTGTTCCCCATTCACTAATGCAGCCCGCCACGGTTTTTTCAAGAACATCAGAGTGGTTCTCTGGACGCACTCGGGCTCCACAACCTACTGAGAGCCGTGCTCTATACCCAAGCTAAACTGCAAACCTAAGACCCTCCACATAGAAGAAAAATACCATGAGGGCACAGGGGAGAGGGGGGAGAACCGTATGTTCCTGCCCACTCTAAAGCTCTGGCTTACGCGCTCCACATTTATCAGGGAAAAGGAAATTTGCCAGCCCAAGGGAGGGAAAGCAAGGCAGCCCCTTGTCGCCCAGAAAGGGGGCCTGAATTCTCGGAGGGCACCAGGCTGGGCGTTAATGGGCTGATCCCGGGCACTCTGGAAGCAGCCCCGGAGCTGACTTTGGGCTTTCGGAACGCAGAGGCCGGCTGGTCTGCCCTCTGTCCCGTCCTCCCCGCCCTCTTCCCTCTAGCTACCGAATGTGTAGTTTTAGCGGTTAGGCTGTTAGTGCTACCGCGGTGCAGCGCCAGGGACAAGTCTGAGTCGGGAGCGAGCGAGCGAGCGAGCGAGCAAGCTTCCAGCGGCAGCCACCACTTTGGGCAAACTTGAGGGTATCTGGCTGCGGGTGTCGAGCCAGGGCTTCCCACTTGCGGTTTAGCTGACTGGGAGCCGCAGCATCACGGGAGGCAGCGGGAGCGCCCGCTCCAGACTCTTCCAGGCGCGAAAGGGGACGAGACAACTGCGGAATTCACCCGCCGCGCCAGGGCACTTCCGAGACAACAGCCGACTGGCACTTTTTCTCCCTTTGGCAAACTGGATTTTTTTTTTTTTTTTTTAAGCTACTTGGCAGCTGTCTCAGACTCCACCTCCTCCTCCTCCTCCTCCACCCCCGCCCCAGTGCCTTTGGCTTTTCTTCGGAAATCCGGACGGAATTGGGCATCTTTGTTAATTGCCTTTGGGAGAGCCCGACCGTGCGCTTTCGCCGGGCTAACGTCGCCTCTGCGGTGAGCCTGGCTCGATCACCTTTGAACTGCGAAGGGATCAAGTTCAGCTCGAGTTGCCGGCTTAGGGACTGGAAGGAAGGCGAGAGACTGCTGGAAAGCGAGTGAGAGAGGGGGAAAGGGGAAAGGAGAGGAGGGAGGAGAGAGGGGGAGGGAGCAGAGAGTGAGGGAGGAGGGAGGGGAGGGATCGAGAGAGGAGAGAGGCTGCAATCTCCTCCCTGAATCGCGCACAGCGCTGCAGATCCCAGTGCTCCGACACGCGGGCCGAATGCAGGTGAGGGAAGGCACGGACTCTGCGGCTGCGAACCCAAACTTGGGCACCGCACGGGGCGCACGGTTCAGCCCTCGCCCCCACGGGCGAAAGGCTGCTGCGGCTTCAGGCGGAGGCTTCCTGACTAATGACCTTGCGCAGAGTTGTTAAGAAAAAAAAGAGAAACCCGAGGAGCCCCCGTGGGTGAGGAGCGGCTGACTCCGGGCGTCTGTCTCCGAAGATGGCTCGGGCTTCTCTTTGGCGCGCTGGGGAGACCCGGACGCGGACCGCGCGGTGACGCGAGTAGCCTTCCCCGCGCCGTGCCCGGAGCGACCTGCGGGAGATTTTTCATTCTTGTTCTGTTGACTGGCTCCCCCGCCGCCTGAGAGGAGTCGGAGTTGAGACTGGCTTGTAGCTGACCAGAGCCTCGTGCCGGCGGCGGCTCACGTTCTGCCTGGGCGCCCGCAGCTGGAGCACAGGCTGCGTCTTGGAGTAAGCGGCTGCAACGTGCACCGGACTCAACTCGAGTGGCCGGAAGCCCGGCGGGGCTGCAGGCGCGGAGGCTGCAGCTCGCTCCCCGCCGCTCCCGGCTCCTCCGGCCGCCTGCAGTCGCGGCTCCGGCTCGGGCTCGCTCCGACAGTGAGGGGACGGAGCCGCCGTTGCTCCTCCCGCTGCGGGGATGACTTTTGGGGGGCGGGGGGCGCCGAGCCCGCGGCGCGCAGTGTCCCGTGAACTGTGAGTACTGCGCCTGAACGGCGGCCGGCGAGCGGGCGATTAGCACCCATTGCATGAATGATGAAACAATAACTTTCGGAAGAAGCAGGAGGAAAAGAGAAAAAGAAGGACCGATCTCTGCACACCCCCCTTCTACGCGCTGCTCTTGCCCCCCCTCCCTCCCGCTGCCCCCTCGGTTCCTCAGTTCCCCGGGAGAAGAGAGGACTGGAGGAGGGCGGGTGGCCAGCCCCGGAGCCAGGGGTGCTGAGGGCGCCGTGGTCAGAAGGAGCAGTAGCAGCAGCAGCAGGAGAAGATGCTGAGGATGCGGACGGCGGGGTGGGCGCGCGGCCGGTGCTTGGGCTGCTGCTTCCTCCTGCCGCTCTGCCTCAGCCTGGCGGCCGCCAAGCAGCTCCTCCGGTACCGGCTGGCCGAGGAGGGCCCCGCCGACGTCCGGATCGGCAACGTCGCCTCGGACCTGGGCATCGTGACCGGTTCCGGGGAGGTGACTTTCAGCCTGGAATCGGGCTCCGAGTACCTGAAGATCGAGAACCTCACGGGCGAGCTGAGCACCAGCGAGCGGCGCGTCGACCGCGAAAAGCTACCCCAGTGTCAGATGATCTTCGACGAGAACGAGTGCTTCCTGGACTTCGAGGTGTCGGTGATCGGGCCCTCGCAGAGCTGGGTGGACTTGTTTGAGGGCCGGGTCATCGTGCTGGACATCAACGACAACACGCCCACCTTCCCGTCGCCAGTGCTCACGCTCACGGTGGAGGAGAACCGGCCGGTGGGCACGCTCTACCTCCTGCCTACTGCCACTGACCGCGACTTTGGTCGCAACGGCATCGAGCGCTACGAGCTGCTGCAGGAGCCCGGGGGCGGCGGCGCCGAGGGCCGGCGCTCCTTGCCGGCCGACAGCGCCCCCTACCCCGGGGGCGGCGGGAACAGCGCGGGCGGCGGCGGCCCCGGAGGCTCCAAGCGGCGGCAGGACGCGCCGGAGGGCGGAGGCAGCGGCGGCAGCCCCGGCGGGCGCAGCAGCGTGTTCGAGTTGCAGGTGGCGGACACCCCGGACGGCGAGAAGCAGCCTCAGCTGATCGTGAAGGGGGCGCTGGACCGCGAGCAGCGCGACTCCTACGAGCTGACCCTGAGGGTGCGCGACGGCGGCGACCCCCCACGGTCCTCACAGGCCATCTTGCGGGTGCTTATCACCGACGTGAACGACAACAGCCCTCGCTTCGAGAAGAGCGTCTATGAGGCTGACCTGGCTGAGAACAGCGCCCCAGGGACCCCCATCCTGCAGCTGCGCGCTGCCGACCTGGATGTGGGGGTCAATGGGCAGATCGAGTACGTGTTCGGGGCTGCCACTGAGTCCGTGCGGCGGCTCCTGCGCCTGGACGAGACGTCAGGCTGGCTCAGTGTCTTGCACCGCATCGACCGTGAGGAAGTAAACCAGCTGCGCTTCACAGTCATGGCCCGCGACCGCGGGCAGCCCCCCAAGACCGACAAGGCCACTGTGGTCCTCAACATCAAGGACGAGAACGATAACGTTCCATCCATTGAAATCCGCAAGATTGGGCGCATCCCACTTAAGGACGGGGTGGCCAACGTGGCTGAGGACGTGCTAGTCGACACCCCCATCGCTCTGGTGCAGGTGTCCGACCGAGACCAGGGCGAGAACGGTGTGGTCACCTGCACTGTAGTGGGCGATGTCCCCTTCCAGCTCAAGCCGGCCAGCGATACAGAGGGCGACCAGAACAAGAAAAAGTACTTCCTGCACACTTCGGCGCCTCTGGACTATGAGACCACCCGGGAATTTAACGTGGTCATTGTGGCGGTAGACTCAGGCAGCCCCAGCCTCTCCAGCAACAATTCCTTAGTTGTCAAAGTGGGAGACACTAACGACAACCCTCCTGTCTTTGGCCAGTCTGTAGTGGAGGTCTACTTCCCTGAGAATAATGTCCCTGGTGAGAGGGTAGCAACCGTGCTGGCGACAGACGCTGACAGCGGGAAGAACGCAGAGATCGCTTATTCCCTGGACTCCACTGTAATGGGGACCTTTGCTATTGATCCAGATTCTGGGGACATCCTTGTAAATACGGTGCTGGATCGGGAACAGACTGACAGGTATGAGTTTAAAGTTAATGCCAAAGACAAAGGCATCCCTGTGCTTCAGGGCAGTACCACAGTAATTGTGCAGGTGGCTGATAAGAATGATAATGACCCTAAGTTTATGCAGGACATCTTTACCTTTTATGTGAAAGAAAACTTGCAACCCAACAGCCCCGTGGGAATGGTCACCGTGATGGACGCTGACAAAGGAAGGAATGCAGAGATGAGCCTGTATATAGAGGAGAACAGTAACATTTTTTCTATTGAAAATGATACAGGGACCATTTATTCCACTATGTCTTTTGACCGGGAACATCAGACCACATACACTTTCAGAGTCAAGGCTGTGGATGGTGGAGACCCTCCCAGATCTGCCACTGCCACAGTCTCTATCTTTGTGATGGATGAAAATGACAATGCTCCCACAGTTACCAGTCCCAAAAATGTGACTTATGTCTTGCTGCCACCTTCTAGTAATGTCAGGACAGTTGTAACTACAGTGCTGGCAACGGACAGTGATGACGGCATCAATGCAGACCTGAACTACAGCATTGTGGGAGGGAATCCCTTCAAGCTGTTTGAGATTGATTCCACCAGTGGTGTGGTTTCCTTAGTGGGAAAACTTACGCATAAGCATTATGGCTTGCACAGGTTGGTGGTACAAGTGAATGACAGTGGGCAGCCTTCCCAGTCCACCACTGCTCTGGTGCATGTGTTTGTCAATGAAAGTGTTTCTAACTCAACTGTGATCAACTCCCAGATAGCCAGAAGTTTGCATACCCCACTCACCCAGGACATAGCGGGTGACCCAAGCTATGAAATTAGTAAACAGAGACTCAGTATTGTCATTGGGGTGGTTGCTGGCATTATGACAGTGATTCTAATCATTTTAATTGTTGTGATGGCAAGGTACTGCAGGTCCAAAAATAAAAATGGCTATGAAGCTGGCAAGAAAGATCATGAAGACTTTTTTACACCCCAACAGCATGACAAATCTAAAAAGCCTAAAAAGGACAAGAAAAACAAAAAATCTAAGCAGCCGCTGTATAGCAGCATTGTCACTGTAGAAGCTTCTAAGCCAAATGGACAGAGGTATGACAGTGTCAATGAGAAGCTGTCAGACAGCCCAAGCATGGGCCGATACCGATCTGTGAATGGGGGGCCTGGCAGTCCCGACCTGGCAAGGCATTACAAATCCAGTTCCCCTTTGCCTACTGTCCAGCTGCACCCCCAGTCACCCACTGCAGGAAAAAAACACCAGGCTGTACAAGATCTGCCACCAGCCAACACATTTGTGGGAGCAGGAGACAACATTTCAATTGGATCAGATCACTGCTCTGAGTACAGCTGTCAAACCAATAACAAGTACAGCAAACAGGTAAGATTCCTTCCAGATATCTTCAGTTATCCCAGAGAGGGCTGGTAACTCTGAGGCAGATTGTCTTCTGTACTGTTGTGTCTTCTCTTTCTACAGGCTATTATTTAAAACTTAGTAGCAGGAATTCAATGTAACATCATTACTAGAGCAGAGGCCTTTCATGAGAGGAGTGTAACTGTATTTTGCAGGTGAGATCTAATGCTCAGTCAGCTCCCGAAGGCAGCATTCAAAGTACACAGTGTTTTGCACTTCTTTTTACACTTGGAAGCCCTAATTCATTTTACGTTTTCAGTTTACAGGATAAATATGTGTACGCTGTTTGGATAGTTTTAAGTGGATAATTGCATTTGAGACTGAAATTTTCTGAAGTTACTACTGGTGTCTATGCAAATTGGACACTATAGAAGTGTTGGCTGTGCTTTACATCATGCAGGATTCTACAAATAAGCAGATGCTGATTGATGCAAATGTAGTACGAGCCTGGGCTGTGGAAACACTGACTCATCTGACAAAAATACTGGCTTAAAATATTTACTGATGTGTGAATGTTGTGGAAAGCTGCATTTTAATACTTTCGAAGCCTAGGTATCTGTAGCAATTATGCTGTGATGATATGCAATCAGCAGTTGCATTCTTTCTCTTCAGTATTAAAAGGTTGTAACCAAAAATAAGCTGCATAGGATATTTGCTATTTAATCCAAGAAATGAAATTGATCATAATTGTCTATTGTGCGCAAGACTAGTTTGATATGCTTTGTGATGTACTTGGAATATAAAGGTTATGTGCAGTATTTAGCAAGTTGTTTCTTGATAAAATGTAGAAAGAGTAAAAAAAAATACACATTCTGGGGGAAACTTCAGAAAATGAAAATTTCATTTTGCAAAGTTTTGCTTTTAGATATAGAATACTATTTACTTTTTATCCTGACAAAAGTTTGAAACACAACAGAGGGAACCTTTTAGGAACTGCTCAGATACTGCAGCAAACTCTACTACTAAAATACCACCTATTTGTTATTGAACTCACAGAAAGCAACACAACTGTGATTGTCAAATGATATCACATAATGGGTTTTCTATTGGATATGTTTCGCGTGTGGAATTGTGTGACCCTTAAAAAACTCTCATTCAAGAAAAGAGATACTAATTCTTTATTACTTTCAAAGTTGTTAATTTCATATATATATCTATATATCTATATATCTATATAT